GGGAAACATTTGCAAATAAAGATTTTCTTTTAAGATTATTTTGCAAATGTGAAACATTATCAAAACAAAACTTTCCTAAGTGGGCATATCTACCACAAACATCATATTTAAAAACATGTGGTCTATTGGAAGCATTTGTCAAATGAGATTTTCTTTTCAAATCAAAACAATATTTGGCCAAATGACCAAAACGACCATAATGATCACACTTGAACACACTAGCATGCTTATGATGAGCTTTGTGAGAATGAGCATGTGAATGTGTAAGTGTACAAGAGGAAGAAGCTATATGAGATGCACAAGGAGCATTAGAATTCTTATTAGTTTTGTGTGCATCATAACAAAACTTAGCTAAATGACCTTGACGGCCGCATATAGAACACATATAAGTTTTGCTATACATGTGTGCATAATGAGTGGATGATTTTGATTTAGTATTGGCACACATATCCATAAGCTTCTTATGATTATTAATGCATGTTTTCAAAGTTGAATCTAAAGATGAAATGCTTTTATTCATAAGATTCAAATCTTCATTTTTAGGCACATATGCACTTTTAGAAGTAGAACATAAATAGTTATTTATAAAAGAAGCTGTATCATTCTTTATGTTCTCTACTTCTAACATGGCATCAATCTTAGCATGAGATAGGCTAGCAATAGATGAGATCAAATTTTTATTTTCCAAATTTAATAAGTCATTGCTTTCTTTAAGCATAGTATTTTAATTTTCAATGACATCAAATTTGGACACTAGCTTCTCATGATCGGATTTTAAATTATCATGCTTGCATTGTAAATCAACAAAATCTTTATGTATTTGTTAAAGGCATGCAACAAATTTTCACTAGCACAAGCAAGTTCATCATTAGGTAAATCATTAATGGTTTCGAACTCGCAAACCTCACTAGGGCTATCGCCTAGTGGCCGTGTGCATGAAGCTTCATATGAACTTGAAGTCGGATCCTCCAAAGCTTGTTGGATCACATCCAAGTCCCCTTGATGTGCTTCAATAAATTTCTAAAGTTTGTAAGCACTATCAAAATGAACACACTTGTTAGACATAGATGAATTAAAAGCATTTAGCAAATATTCTAACAAAATATTGTTCATTGTAAACATACGATGATCATTCTTATTCCACTTGGATTTCTCCAAAATGGGCACAATATAAGCATCATCTATAATTTTTCTCCAAAATGGGCACAATATAAGCATCATCTATAATTTCCCATAAATCAAAGTGTTTAGATTGAACAATATAAGCAAATATTCTACGTTCACCCAAACAACGTTTACACCTCACACTCGATTTTCTAGCTAACCGAAAACTTTACAATCAACACTCTTGCAATCACACTCTACACTCTCACAAGTGTTGGACCTAGCCGTGTATCCCTCAAGTGCTCGGTTACAACCTCTCCCTAGGCACGTCAACCGACGCCACTCCTCTTGGGACGATCCCCGACTCTCACCACACACTCCTCACTCGGTGTACAAGTGTATTACAAAGTGAATCTCACAATAAGCACAATTATAATAATTGATTGTTCTCAACTATGGATGAGAACACAATGAAAGCTCACACTCAATTGTTACAATCTCTCACAACCCTAATATACTATGTATGCAAATACAATAAGCTCAAGTGGGTGTGTGTAACAATGAGATAATATAATCAAATCTAAACTCAATATAAAAACTAGCTTTAAAGAATGATAATCAAATAACTAAGCAAATGTAAAGCTAGATAGAGTTTAGAAAACTTCTCCAATAGATGACAAGATGGAGAGATGGAGATTGGAGCCCAAACAAGAAGATGATCTCCTCCACTTGTGAAAACAATCTTCAAACCAAACAAACACTAAAACACACTTAAACCCTTGTTTAAAACTCTTTAAACTTGTTTAAAACATTTCTTGAGTGCCCTTAGAAGTATTATGGCATGGAGTATATATAGGCTCATGAAACAAGCCCAAAAACCCAAGAAAACCAAGCAAAAAGACAAAAAAAATGGATATATCAAAATCTGGAAAATATAGCCGTTATGCTACAGTAACCACGTCCAGAGAGTTTGGCGGTCGACCGCGGGTACTGTAGCACTGCATTTTAGTTTTGTAAAATCAATTAAAAATAGTAAAACAACTCCAAAAAATATGAAATTTTGTGGGAAGGTTCTAGACATGTAGAATGACATGTTAGAGGAAGAATTTCAGAAAAAGAATTTCCCAGTTGAGAGAAATAAATGTTTGAACACAGATTTACGGTTTCTGAAAAACTGCAGACATACACGATTTTGTAAAATCAATTGGGCATAGTAAATCAACTCCAAAAATAGTAAAATTTTGAGGGAAGTTTATAAACATGTAGATAAACATGTTAAAAAAAGAATTTCTTGAATATCACTTCCCATTTATGAAAACTCATCTGTTTTGTAAAACATGCACGAACATGCACGAATGAAAAACATGATTTTGTAAATTCCATTAAACATAACAAATCAATTCCAAACTTGATAAAACTTTGCAAAATGTTTATAAACATGAAAATAAACATTTTACAAAAATAAATTTTCAATTTCATTTCTCAATTGTGAAAACTCATTATTTTGTAAAAACATGCATGAATATGAATTTGTTAAGAACATGTTTTTGACAAAAAGAGTTTAAACGCATATTGAAACTTTATGAAATGTCTTCATAAATATTATAACACATGAATATAAAGTAAACATGATCAATAAAACAATATCATAAAGTTTTCTTAAAATAGCTTATTTTGTGAACATGGTCAATAAAACAATATCACAAAGTAAACATGGTCAATAAAACATTATCATAAAGTAAACACTCGGTTTTCTAACTAACCGAAAACTTCACAACAACACACTATTATAATCCCACTCTACACCCACTAAGTGTTGAACTAGACGTGTCTCCCTCAAGTGCTCGGTTACAACCTCTCCCTAGGTTCGTCAATCGACGCCACTCCTCTTGGGACGATCCCCGACTCTCGCCACACACTTCTCTCGGTGTATAAGTGTATTACAAAATGTATCTCACAATAAGCACAATATAAATCAATAGATGTTCTCTACAATAGATGAGAACTCAATGTAGGCTCACACTCAATGTTACAACTCTCACCAACCTAAATATACTATGTATGAAAATACAATAAGCTCAAGTGGGTGTGTGTAAATAATGAGTGAAATAAAATCTAACTCAAATATCAAACTAGCAATAATAATAGTATGAAAATCAATAATGAAATTGCTTGAGAAAAGAGTTAGAAAACTTCTCTATAAATACAAAGAGAGGATGATGAAATGTTGAAGATGAACTCCTCAACAACTGATGTAAGCTCCTCGATGAAATGTTGAAGATGAACTCCTCAACAACTGATGTAAGCTCCTCTTTGTAAAAACAAACCAAACAGCATTTTAAACCAAACTTAAAACCAAACTTAAATTCTTCTAAAACTTGTTTAAAAACTTCTTAAGTGAATAGATAGAAGGGGCTTGAGGGTTTATATAGGAAGAGGAAACAACAGCAAAAAAACCCCAAACAGATGACAAAAAAAAAGCCCCAGCCAACGATAACAAAAATAGCCATTGGAAGGAATCTGACAAAACGGCGGTCGACCGAAAAAATTCACGATCGACCGCGATCCAGATCCCAAACTGAGAAAACGAGCAGAGACTTCTTCGGTCGGCCGATGCGGTCAACCGTGGGAAGTCTCGAGCTCTCGGTCGACCGCGGCGGTCGACCGACAAACTCTCTGCTGCCCTCTGACGAATGAACACAGGTGCGGTCGACCGAGAACTGATACATGAAAATGAAGTTCTGAAAACTATTTTTCTGATTTTAAAACACTGTTTAAAAATATCAAATAAATTCCAAAAAATATAAAACTTTAGGGAATGATTGTAGACATGATAATAAACATGCTACAATGACTGGTTTCCAGAAAGGACTTCCCAAATGAAAAATATCATTATTTTACAAAATAGACCAAAACATGAAAGTGTAAACATATGAATTTTGACATTTAGGCTAAACCATGTTTTAAACTTTGCACAATGATTATGTAGACTTAATAAAATATGTATATGATTATTGTTAAGTCCAAAAACTAAGAATATAGTATTTTCACAAATATGCATATTCTATGCAATATATTCTAAAACATAATAATAAATATGAAACATGTGATTTCATATTTATAAACATGAAAACTCAAAAACTATGTATGTATATATATAACTATACATATGCATAGAAACCAAAACTTATGTATATATATATGACTATATATATATACGAAGAAACCAATAAATATGTGTGTATAGATAATTGAGCTTAAGGTACTAACACACATAATATAAAATCTAAACTAGATTACCCAAGCTTGATCTTGATCTTCATTGTAGCTCAACTTGGTACACATGTGGATGAAGCTGAACTACGATCTTAAACTAGAATTGCAAGGCTTCACTCCACTATTCCGCTAACCTCCATTGGATTTGATCGTTGAAGCTCTATTCCATCCATCCTCCAACTTGTTGTTTACCCAGAATAAATACGAAAACACAAACACTAGACAAACAACATTAGAAGTAAATTGTTTGTTAAACATCATCAAAACAAGAAGGCCAACAAGGTGGGGTGTTTGTGAAACTCCTATTTATTCCAACATCAGGAAATGAGTGAGAATTTAAGTGGCTTAAATTATTTAAGTGTAACATTGGTTACTCGATTTTGGCAGTAGATTGAGCCAAACAACACATTACACTTGTTGGCTACCGCATCAATGGGCCCATCAGGCTGGGGCATGACCTGCCCAATATTAGAAGCGAACATATACTAAGTTAACTACTCAAAGCATGTAGCTGAAATATCATATTGATAATTTTCATCGTTATGCTACAAGAATAAATGATTTGCTTTTGTAGTAGGTTTTTGTGGTTTAGTTCTGATATCTTCTAACTCCCTTTGTAGCCTACTTCACCCACTACTTTGGGAAAGGAGATGGCAAATTTTGCTTTCAGACTAAGTGAAGTAGGGAAGACCTTTACAGAAGTGCAAATATTGGGCAAGTGTGCTGGAGCTGTTGGAAACTACAATGCACATAAAGTTGCATATCCTGATATTGATTGGCCAACTGTTGTAGCTAAGTTCGTGACCTATTTGGGGTTAGGTTTCAACCCTTACGTGACACAGGCATGTTTATTTACTTCTACTACTTTTCTCTTTGCAAGGTTTTACCTATCTAATTCATTTCAGCTTGATGGATCTTTTTTTTGCGTAATTAAGTAGTGCATAGACGATTTTGATATGGTTTTTTCTTTGTGGATGACTTGGACATCTTTCATTAATGGGAGGAGTACTTTATTTACCTGTACTTTTTTGACACTGCTGCTTGTATTCACTATTCTCTGCTTGAACTAGTTTACTAGTAAACAGTCTTCATGAAGATTTAGGCAACTATACAAGCTGTAAACGTGTATAACTAATAGATCCTCAGGATTTTCTTTAATATGAGTTTTGCAATCGACTTAGGTGACTGAAATGTAGGTTTTTTTTGCCATTTCACGTTTCAAGAGTTTACAGATTGAGCATGTTGCTTGCTCTCAGGTGACTGAAATGAGTTTTGCATACTCTCTATCTGAGCTTGTTGCTGGCTCCATATACAGATTGAGCCGCATGACTATATCGCAAAGCTTTTCAATACAGTTGTTCAGTTTAATAACATCCTGACTGATTTTGATCAGGACATATGGAGCTATATTTTGTTAGGTTGTTTTAAGCAGGTAACTTTCTTATGCTTGACCACTATACCCCTAAAATATTAGGACCTAATTTAGCTCCCAAACTTCCTGCTTGACCACTATACCCCTAAAATATTAGGACCTAATTTAGCTCCCAAACTTCCAATTTGGAACTAAACGATTTCATGATAATTTTCCTAAAATATTAGGACCTAATTTAGCTCCCAAACTTCCAATTTGGAACTAAACGATTTCATGATAATTTTTCTTTCTAGATGACCAAGGTTGGGGAGATTGGATCTTCAACTATGCCTCATAAAGGTAATCCCATTGATTTTGAGAATAGTGAGGGCAACTTGTGTTTGGCTAATGCTATTTTATCTGCTAGCTCCCAGCTCGAAATTGCCAATCTCTCGTATGCAGGTGTGTATCATTTACTTTTCCATCTTTATTCTTGGTTCTTGAGGAGTACCTAATGTGAAGTTCAGCGTTATATCACAGTTCAAAAAACACATCTTAGAGTCTCATTCTGGTAAAGTGATACTATACTTATTGCATGTGTAATCATTGACAGAGGGATTTGACCGATTCCACTATTTTGAGGAATTTGGGTATTGGATCTGGGTATTCTCTCTTGGCATACAAAAGTGCACTACAAGGAATCCGAAAGCTTCAGGTTAGTAGTAAAATCTGTTTGAGATGGTTATCACTAGAGAATTAGATATAAAGCTAGATGTGTTATTGGCAGGAAATGTGCCGCTGTCGTCGTTCTTTGCTTCATGTATGTTGTTTGTTCTGTTCTTGCTTTAACTATTTGGGTTGGGCATATGTTGAATTTGAATTCGTCACTAATGCAAGTTGCTAAATTCTGTGAATTAGAAGATCATAGAAATGTGGATCCATTTCAATGAATTCTTGTCTTTCCGTCAACATAATTTCTATCTAATGTACATCCATCTAATAATATATATTATTTTACCGATGTTTAAGTTTTTTTCCATATAAGTATTTCTTTTCTAAAATTGTACTAACCATTTCCCTCAAAAATATTGTATGAACTATGTCTTTGCTATCCTTTTTAATTTCCTTTAGATCTATTATTTGGGATCCATAACTATGATATCTGGCATTATTCTTTTGAAAAAATTCTGTATGTACGTCCGAGTAGTCGATGTAAAGAAAGATACAATTAAAAGTGGCAAAAGCTCCTTTTTTGCTCAATATGTTGCCGACGTATAAAGACAATCCCAATGTTAACATTTAATTAGGGGTGACAAATGGGTCGGGTTGGGTCGGGTAGGGTCATAGTTGACCTAACCCGTATAAGTGTGACCCGACCCGTTTATTAAACGGGTTACCCGACCCAACCCATATAACCCGAATGACCTGTTTATCAAATCTCAGTTCAATATCATGGACACTACATAGATCAAGATGAAATTCTTTTGACTCTTTCGACAATCACAAGTCAAAATATGCAATACTGCTACATAGATTGTACAAGACATTGACCCTTTTAATAAACAATACTAATTAAGGATTAGGTTACCACTTATTCACAGCATTATAAACCATGGTCCCCACCTTTTTGGCCGTCGCCTCACTCTGACGAACCCCCCAATCCCTCTAATCCTCGCACGGCATAAAAGTCAAAACCGGACAGAACCTATGCTTTAGAAAAAAACCAGCTCACTCCCAAGCTGACCTCTGACCCTTCAACCCCACAACGTAGTTCCTCCTCAGATCCAGAGCTCCGTTCTTGACCAGATCCCAGCCGCTCTCCCTAATCAACGTGAAGTAGTTCCCCGACAGCGACAGGTTCTCCAGCTTCCCGCAGCTCGCCAGGTCGTAGAGCACGTCGGGCACCCATTTCCTCCCCTTATCCGACCTCCCCTTATCCTCCTTCGATCTCGTCCGTACGAGTAGAACCACAACCAATCTCGACCATTGAAACACTGGCTCACTATCGATGATGGCCGAGACGCGGCCGACCACGCCGGAGACGCTGGACCTGGCGGGAAACTGTGGGTCGAAGGAAGAGGAGAGAGAGGAGAAGGAGGAGGATGAAGACGACGAAGATGATCTTCATATTTGGAGTTTGCAACCTATTTAGAATTAAATGGGTCGGTATTAGGTTACACGGGTCAGTTCGGATCAACCCTAATTTACCCATCTAATAAACGGATCAGTTCGGGTTAACCCGTTTATGACCCGACCAATATAACTCGACCCGTTCCCAATATAAATGGGTCGGGTCGGGTCATAATTTACCACCCCTACATTTAATCAAGTTTATTCTGAAACTTGCCCAAATTAGTTTGAGGTTTAAAGCTCATTATTTTAAAGTAATAAAACTTTGATTGTACACTTTTGACACAGTGCCATCAATATGGCTCATTCCAAATTACATATTTAATAATGACATGACACATGAAATTACACTTCTTTGTAACTCTCTTCGTTTCTTAATTCTTTATTTCTTCTCCATCATGTGTAGGTAAATGACTCATGCAGTTCCCTTTAGACTTTATTATGACTGCTTTTGTATAATTTTTCTTTTTTCTGCTTTTGTTGGTTATATGATGTAATATCAAAGATCTGCTTGTATGTTGTATTGTTTTTGAAGGTTTTATATAATACATCTAATTCCACCTCCCCCAGTATTTTGACTATATGTTGGGAAAGATGACAGTCCAAGAGAGGGGTATTTTCACTCAAAAACAAATAGAATATAATTATATTAAGTCTCAATAATGGTCTAGTTACGAACTATTATTTTAGCATTCCTTCTTAAGCTGGGAGAGCATATAGACCTGTCATTTTTAGCTAGTTAAATCTAAGCAAAAAATTCCCTTCCCCTTCCTCCCCCCCCCCCCCCCCCCCCCCAAAAAAGGTAATGTTTTAGGAAAACCGTTACCTATCTGTCTAAATTGATATGTGAAGTGACATTTTGCTCAATATCATTTAATAATGAAGTGATAATCAACCTTTATATACTTCCTGTTCTCATGAGACTTAGTCTATACCGTTGGCAATATATGCCAGAACCTGATTATTATGATATTGTTTCCATCGAAAGTAGTCTTCGTTATCGATTCATTTACAACTTTAATCGTTTACAATGAATTCAAATTACAAAAATATAGATTACAACTCTCTAGAAAATAAACACTAGAACTGTTTATTAACTCTTGCTTGTGTGGAGTCTTCGCCTGTGCCGGGGATGTTAATATCCGTGGACGACCACGGATCAGATCCGGTTGTCAAAAAATTAATAGAGCTCCTACTTCACCAAGTATTCGCTCGAAGCACTAAAATCGACCAAGCGAAATCAGTAGCTCTTCTTAAGATTAAGACTAAGCCTAATCTCAAGGAACGAATGGGGGGATACAGGTTCAGATCCTCCGAAAGCCTTCCTCTTTATGCTGATGTTCGCCGGGATCTGATTAACCTTCACTAAAATTTCGTGCTCCTTGACTCCTTAATCCAGCAACACCTCGCCCTCTTGATAAAATTCCAGATCCGTAAAATGGAGGCTTTAAGCTCATATTTATAGGGCTTCAGATACGGGTATTCAGATGAGAATTAGTGAACTGGCCTTTTCTTCAGTTAATAATGGCCTAACCATGTTTGTGGATGATATCAAGTCAGTTGGGAATCCCTGGAACAGATAAATCCCAAGAAAACCAATCGAAAACTATCAAAACATGTTTTCGGGTCAAACCTGTGCGAAATAGCTCGTGCTGACCCACGCGGCTGTGGTTCACCTCTTGGTGAACCGCATGCATGCGGGTCACCAGGTGGTGACCCGCACCCCACACGAGTTGAGACTCTTTCTCTCTCTTTTTGCATTTCAATGTTTCGTTGACTTGTACGCTTCGCTGAGGCTGATTGACGAACGCGAGCTAACTGACGTGCGCGTGTTGACCGACGCACGCGAGTTGATTGATGTGAGCGTGTTAACCGACGCGTGCGAGTTGATTGACGTGTGTGTGTTGACCGACACACACGAGCTAACTGACATGCGCGTGTTGACCGACGTGCGTGAGGTGACTGACGTGCATGTGTTGACCGATGCGCGTGAGCTAATTGACGTGAGCATGTTGATCGACGCGCACGAGGTGACTGACACACATGAGCTGATTAACATACGTGTGTTGACCGATGAGCACGAGCTAACTGACGTGCGTGTGTTGACCGATGCGCGCGAGCTGATTGACGTGAGCGTGTTGACCGACGCACGCTAGTTGATTGACGTGCGCATGTTGGCCGACACATACGAGCTAACTGGCATGCGCATGTTGACCGATACGCGTGAGGTGACTGACGTGCGTGTGTTGACCTATGCGCGCAAGCTAATTGACGTGAGCGTTTTTATCGACGCGCGCGAGGTGATTGACGTGAGCGTGTTGACCAACACGCGCGAGCTGATTGACGTGTGTGTGTTGACCGACGAGCACGAGTTAACTGGCATGCGCGTGTTAACTGATGTGCGCGAGCTGATTGACGTGAGCGTGTTGACCGACACGCGCTAGTTGATTGACGTGCGCATGTTGACCGACGTACATGAGCTAACTGACATACGCTTGTTGACTGACGCGTGTGAGGTGACTGGTGTGCGTGTGTTGACTGACGCGCGCAAGCTGATTGACATGTGCGTGTTGACCGACACGTATGAGCTAACTGGTGTGCGCGTGTTGACCGACGCGCGTGAGGCAATTGGGTAAGACTTCTTGACTCGTCCACTCTTTGCTTCGAACTGCGTGCGGGCTCTCATAAGCAATTTTAGACGCCTACTGATACCCCCTCCAAAGTATTTCAGTCTCATTCTTTTATTGAGGAGTCTGAAATACTTTGGATATGATAGACCTCCACCTTCAATTGGTGTCAAAGGACCTACAATTGGTTTTAGTTCTTGACTTCTCCACATTTTAGTCCACTCAGTATTTTGTCGAATAGCTGAAATTCTTCCGGTGCTGCGTTTATCGTCTGACCGTTGTTGAAGTCTCGAATCAAAATTGATCAGTTGATTCTGACTCGTGTCATTGAGTTGACTTTGAACAAATTATCTATGTCGCAATGTGTTGATCGGCATTGACCTAGGGCTACGTATTGACCATAGGGTTTCGTATCGATCGGCGTTGACTTTCATCGCAACGCGTTGACCTGAGGAGGACCAGTTTATACTTGTATAGTCATAGGTGTTTTGGGAATACCCGTCGGAGGTCGTCGGGTTATCCTAAAGAATATTATAAGTAATATTTTCTCGAAACTTCCCATCAAATAGTGGGAAACAGTTTAGACACGTATACCCCTTAGAGTTTACGTGGGTCCTGAATATCTCGAAAGTGGGCGAAAATGCCGCGAAGCTATCCGGAAATATGAAATTGGGTCCTGAATATTTTGAAAGTGGCCAAGAGCAGACAAGAATACAATGAAAACGACCACCGGATCATACCCGATCCGCACGAACGCGGGTCAGGTGGATCCGACTCGCACGAGCGCGGGTCAGATTGATCTGACCCACCCGAACGCGGGTCAGGTAAATCCGATCCGCGCGAACGCGGATCAGATCAAATTTAAATCCTAATTTCTATCTTCCTTCTTCATTTTCTTTGGGGATTTAAATCCTAATTTCTATCCTCCTTCTTCATTTTCTTTTTCTTTTACCAACTTTAGAGAAGAAAAACTCCTCCCAGCTGACTTCCTCTCCCCAAGTTCGGCCTCTTCTAGACTTCTTCTTCTTCAAGAGTTCGAAACAAGATCCTAGCTCCCTCAAATCCTTTAAATCCCTTATTCTCTTCTCCTTT